AGCGACATACAGACTTTGTAATGTAGTCTTAGATACAGTGACAACACGATGTGTTTTTTTAATAACGGGGATTAGAACATATACTTAGCAGATTATGAAACGCTCTAATGTGACTTTAATTGGTGTAGAAAGTGGCGTCTTAATATCAACAAGGACAATTTTGTATACCGATTGGTACCGTCAATTTCGCCTGTCGATTAACAGGCGATGCTGATAGAACACTGTCAACGCTTAATGTCCTAAGGATGATATTCGGAAATTCCGTATTTGCTGGAGGAACGTGTCCAAATTCCTTTTTTTTAAATTTCCATTCGCGCAATTCATTCGCGAATCTCCCCTGATTGTACGGAGGAAGGATATAACCGTTGTACTGATAGTTTAATTCTCTTGTTTTTACATCAACCCAGCTTACACTTTACATGTCATTATTTCAGAGATATAGTGCCTCTGAAGACTGAAGGGACGAACGGCGGGCTTGAATGATACGGTTAATGACGTCTAGAGCTACCATGGGATGTCGTCTGCTGTCCAGATCGACGACACCAGCTGGTGTGTCCAGTGTTTTACGAATTGCTGGGTATATCTGCATGCTCATCCGTTAATTGGACTTTCATTCAAGATCATTCAAGTCCACGTATTTAATATAAATTGGAAATTCGATTAAGCCATTCGGAACATTGATGAAGATGAAGCTGAACAAGTGGTCCAGCCATTTAATATTAAAAGTAAATTGATAACTGTTCTTACGATGACAATACGTCAAAGACCTGCGTCCTGAAGTAGTAGTTGGAAGGCCGAATGGATGCCGTAGGAACGCCATAACAGCCTGGGAGCTGACCAAGTGTATACGTCTGCAGATCGTCAAGACAATATCGTTCTAGCCAGTGACAGAGTTCCGTGAAAGTGGTTAAATAGATAGACGTGTGAGACAAATCATTTCTGTGTTACACAAAAGCTTGATCCCATTGTGCTGGTGGCCTACAGCTGTTCTAGACAGTACGAATGCGATGACTGTAGTTTCCGGTACAGGATCGATAGACCGGGTCCTTCGGGATACTACAACTCGGCACCTCTTAGTGGTTCCGGAAATGGCAAATCATCTCCAATGGCGGATTTGTTCAATCCGATACCCAAAGCTGTCAGATATCGTTATAAATATATCTGTTATTTATTTCGTTTCTGGACCAAGAAACTTGCCAGAGGAATCACAGAGCCCATATACAGCCACTGGTGACAGTCTACCGGACATTTCTGTTGTATAAGGTCAACAATGACAGTAAAACGAGGCCGATGATGCCCTGTAGGCCCTGGTTGTCGGTGAATGTAACATATCAAAATGTACAGGGAATTCAGGCGAGCAGGGGGTTTAATTTTCCAAAGAGTCCATAAGTGGATTTATGGTGAGAACGTTTACAGGCAACGATGTCATCGTCTGTGAGCTCGTACTCTGTTTACCTAGCCCGCCATCAATTTCTCTCTGGTTTTGTTTTTTTTTTTGAGAAAATTAGAAATTAAATAAACCTTGTTATTTGAAACAAAAAATATTACAACCATCTATGGATATCGTTGTCAAAAGAGTGGGTTTCACAATCCCTTATAACGTTTCCTTTAAAATGCATTGCAACCATGATTAAAGTAATTATACGGGGGACGTTACAGCTGATAGTAGTATTGTTGTGTTATCTTGTATAGTAAAAACTGATGTTGATTTATTGATGTAGGAAAGTTGAAGGTGTTAGGTAAAAACTGTCCTCCTCATCGCCCTCGTCTGTGTCTGCTGTCTCTATGTCAAACGAAAACCACGGAGAAGGGCAAGTACAGTTTTCAGTGTTTTATTGTACATGTACCTATTCTTATATGAAGCTTTCAATTGAGTTATGAACATAGATTATATATAATTTTTCATTGTTTGGCAAATGGTTGCTTTTTTAAGTATCAGTATAACCTTATCATAGATAAACTGCTTGACGTAAATACATTTTTGACATGGATAATATAAACATTAGTTTTACGATAGAAAATAATTATGTAGCATTCTTGGTAATACCAGAATTTCTTTTATCATTTAGGTGAATTGTATAATGATCATAAGAGAATTGAGAATTCAATGCTATTTCACAAAATGTACAAGGGTTGTCTGATTGGTCACTCACATAACATGACTTTGAAACTCTTCAGACAATTATGTACAAGTAGTTATGCTTCATCACGTACCGGTTGACCTAAACTTCATAGTGGGGCACCTTTTACATCTGGTTTTTGGACAGTAGTTCACCGTAGTTCTGATGTTGCGGTCGCTACACTGACATTTTAACTAACTGGTGAGAGAACGCAGGTAACCAAAGTAATGTAAGTATTTCGACGATTGAAAATAAAAAGATTAAATGAACAAAAGAAAGCGATAAATGTGGTTAACTTTTAAAAATTATGAGAGTGCAAAAGATTTAAACGCGGAAAAAAAATCAGGAAGGAAATCACAATGCTGCTCAACTGTAGTCCTATAAGAAATGGGAAAAGGAACCCCTAAACCCTAGTATTGACCATAACAAAACAAAGAAGGAGGGAAAACCAGGGCCTCTGTAAAGGTCAGCGTATCCTAGAACGATGTGTTGAGGTAACTGTTGGATCACGTGACAGTTAATAATGATTGTAGGCTTAGAGAAGTGGGTCATCCTGGAAGACATAACCTTCTCTAATCACGGAACAAGAATTAAAGTATCTTTTTGCATTTTGCGTTTTTTTAAACATAGAAGGCGTATTTATGTCAAACCTTCTTTGTCGATCGCGGAAGACGACTTTTATCACAATTCTTCTCTATTCAGCATAGGAGACACATTCATGTCATAGTTTTGTCTTTAAATACGGAAGACATGTGAAGTGAATTCTCGCGGTGTTTTAGCACCGAAACAGGACTTTCAGTATATAAAGTGTCTAAAAGGCAAATGGATGCGTTTTATTTCAGCATATTGAGCAACAACAACTAAATGTTTGCTGTTGAACAAATTATCAACAAAACTATAAGCTGTGTGATACTAGTCTATTGATGATAATGAATCGCTTCAACCACATACTCGATATCACATAACGACATTACTGTTATGTAGTTTATTATAGTGGCTCATTTCTATGCTTGTCATATTATTCTGAGGATAAAAATTTCTCAATCATGTTACTGGCCAACAAAATTGCAAAACAAAAATATCCCCGCGGAAATATTTCTTGCTTTACAGTCTTTCTCCTCGTTAGTCATTGAAGGTTAAAGTAACGTCACAGGTTTTTTTTCTTTTGTAATCATGAATGACAAGTAACATAACGGATTATTTTCTTTTGTAATCATGAAGGACAAATTAACGTCGAAGTTTTTTTCTTTTGTAATCATGAATGACAAGTAACGTCAGAGGTTTTATTCTTTTGTAACCATGAATGAAAAGTAACGTCACAGTTTTGTTTTCTTTTGTGATCATGAATGACAAAGTAACGTCACAGTTTTGTTTTCTTTTGTAATCATGAATGACAAAGTAACGTCACAGGTTCTTTTTCTTTTATAATCATGAATGACAAAGTAACGACACAGTTTTGTTTTCTTTTCTGATCATAAATGACAAAGTAACGTCACAGTTTTGTTTTCTTTTGTAATCATGAATGACAAGTAACGTCATAGTTTTGTTTTATTTTGTAATCATGAATGTCAAAGTAACGTCACAGTTTTGTTTTCTTTTGTAATCATGAATGACAAGTAACGTCACAGTTTTGTTTTCTTTTGTAATCATGAATGACAATTAACGTCACGGTTTGGTTTTATTTTGTAATCATGAATGACAAAGTCACGTCACAGTTTTGTTTTCTTTTGTAATCAGGAATGACAAGTAACGTCACATTTTTGTTTTATTTTGTAATCATGAATGACAAAGTAACGTCACAGTTTGGTTTTCTTTTGTTATCATGAATGACAAGTAACGTCACAGTTTTGTTTTATTTTATAACCATGAATGACAAAGTAACGTCACAGTTTTGTTTTATTTTGTAATCATGAATGACAAGTAACGTCACAGTTTTGTTTTCTTTTGTAATCATGAATGACAAGTAACGTCACAGTTTGGTTTTCTTTTGTTATCATGAATGACAAGTAACGTCACAGTTTTGTTTTCTTTTGTAATCATGAATGACAAGTAACGTCACAGTTTTGTTATATTTTTGATCATGAATGACAAGTAACGTCACAGTTTTTTTTCTTTTATAATCATGAATGACAAGTAACGTCACAGTTTTGTTTTATTTTATAATCATGAATGACAAAGTAACGTCACAGTTTTGTTTTATTTTGTTATCATGAATGACAAGTAACGTCACAGGTTTTTTTCTTTTATAATCATGAATGACAAAGTAACGTCACAGTTTTGTTTTCTTTTGTAATCATGAATGACAAAGTAACGTCACAGTTTTTTTTTTTCTTTTGTAATCATGGGTGACAAAGTAACGTCACAGTTTTGTTTTCTTCTTTAATCATTTAAAGAAAATAAAAGTAACCGTTTGTTTTCTTTTGTTATCATAAATCACAAAGTAGTGCCACAGTGATTTCTTCTTTAGTCATTTAACGTAATAGCTTGTTTTTGTTTCGTAATCATGGATGACAAAGTAGTGTCATAGTTTTTACCTTCTTTAATCATAAAAGACAAAGCAATGTAATATACGTGTGTACTGTAATGACTATACTGAAAACGTACAGAATTAATTAATTCATTAAAGCTGGTTATACTTGTGAGCTGTACATATTAAAGAAGATTGTCAAAAACTTTTACCCACCACCAGCTCCATGATCCGGATGTTCATTTACTGTAAATAGACTTATTTAATTGATAATGGTCCGTATTTGAGAACACCAATTTGGATGTTAAGTCCTTTTCACTGACTTGCTGATACGATTTGATATTAGGCTATGTTTATAACAGGATGGGTGAACATGTTATTGCTCTGTAACTTCTCGAGAATCTCAATAGGTCGCTGATCCGGTGTCACTTGATGGCTTAGCGAGACAGACAACAAAAACAGCGGTGATACATTTGACGGTATGTACAGTGTTTTGATGCAATATTTTTCAATATTTCCTTGACCGATAGTAGGGGAAACATTCGTACGTAACATCGTCCAAGTGTTTTTGTGACTTCCGTCATCTAAAAGCCGTAATATTGATATTTGTTTTGAACGCGATACCTGTATTAAGGACTATGAGCTGTCAGTCAAGCGAGACATCGAGCCAGGTAAACACACCTGTGTCGGATGAGTTCATCACGCACGATCAGTCAACCGCATACACTACACCTGGTTTGTCAGCCAAACGAACCATTGCTTTAATCTCACCAGATAACTTTGTTCAAACGGATCCAAAATGGCTACTGCCTTATGATTCCCCTCCTGGTGGTCTCAGCATTAACTACACCAGGCCTCGGACCGTGTGTGCGAACTTTCCGACGCAATTTTTGAAGCGATGTCCAAACTAACCTTTGTAAATCATCTGGTCCAGTAACTGGTCAAGCCGGTCTCCGATGCTCTTTCTGCAGTAATTTCAAACTCTGTAGCACATGAAATAAATCCCCAACTAGAGCCAAAAATAAAACACTTCCGAGAAGAAGTGTAGAACTTAAAATTAACGTGTTGATAATCTAGTGTCAGACAATATGAAGTCTGTGACTTCGTCAGTGGGTACGCTGGAGCGAAACATTACAGCCCTCCATGAAACCATCACCCGATTGGGAAAATCCATCGAGACCAGGAAGCCGAGCTCGAGGAATCGGCCCAATATTTTTTTTTGAATTTTTCAATGTACAGGTCACCGCGAAATTTGCTAGAATCAGTCCGCGGTCTTTGTCGCACAAAACTTAATGTTAATGAGTCGCTTAAAGACATATATCGCTGCCACCCCATCGGCTCCGTCAAATTTGGGGAAAACCACGCTGATTGCTCGTTTTGTCAGAAACTCTGATCGGCAAAATGTTTGTGTGACAAAAAACTTTTGAAGGGTAACAAGGATGGAACGATGGTCGTTGAGGCTCTCACCTAATTCCGTCAGCTTGTGGTAAACGATCTAAACAAACTTCGCTATCCTCCAGACGAAGCCAGAATCTACGAAAAGTCTCATAAAAGCCTCCTCTGACAACGTCTGTCTGATTCCCGGCTACAAGGACATGAGAAGCCAGGAATCGTAGTTGTTTAGCTTGTAAATGAATTCGACAAACATTCACACTGACATTAAGTTAAATGTAGTGCAAACTGAATTCAAAACTCACAATAATGTACATGTATGTTGTAAATAACGATATCGACAAAGGATAAAGTTAATTGGTATTTTCAACCCAAGTGATTTTGCTTCGTCAAGAAAAAAAGTATATATGGTTTGTTTTTTTGTTTTTTGTTTTGTTATACATGTACCACAAGGATGTTCAGTTTTATGTCTCTTGTCGTAAAATTGATAATTGGCTAACACGTGTTATATTTTGAAGTCATGAAAAAACGATATTATTCAGTACCTGTCTTTTGTCACCGCATGTAGTCATTTATTGTAGTTTACTGTTCCGAAATTACTAAATGGCAGTTAACGATATTTGTTTTTAAGTTTTGAACTGAGTTATCAGTGTTATGACATATCAAATTCAGGGTTGAAAACTGGCTGTTAAATAACATTATAAAATTAATTCCAAAAATGTGATACCTAATCATTTATGGTTATGTTTTTGTTAAGTTAGAAAATGACATTCTGTCGACATTAAGTACTGATACAGTTGTCAAGTGTATACACTTCAAAGTAGGCGTCACTGTTTACAAAATTATGAAATGTCAACAGTACTAAATACTTATTTCCACGTCATAAGTATCATTCTGTCGTCGTTAAGTACTGATAAATGTTTCAAGTATTGGTGCACTATCATATGTGGGCGTTATTGTTTACAAAATAACATAACTGTACATAAAGATATTTTTTAAAGACACTTAACATTTGATTCTAAATTTGTCATTCGATGGGATATAAGAACAGTAAGAACATAGCAGTATGTCGTATTGATACTTTAAGTAGTAAATAATAACTTTTGTCGTTGTTCAATTAGTATACATTTTTAAAGTATTGTCATTATGTTTCGTTTTCATTAAATTTTAAACGACAAATATAGTATGTTCATAGTAGTATTTGCATAGTCATTATAAAACTATGCAGTAATTAACATGTAACCTCAGTTTGTGAAATCATAAATTGTTGGTTGAGACCTGGTTGTCACACGTGTATTTTTTTTAATATAATATCTGGTAATAGTTTCAACCAATTTATACGTCATTTATGTTTTGTAAGTACTATTCCATTAAATGATTTCCTTTTTCAAGCTTCAATGACAGTAAGGTTTTTGCTCTGTATTAGTATCATATAAAATGTTTAATTAAAGATTGTGTTAACAAGTTTCCTGAAATACAATTATGCTGGTTCAAAAATTTGCTCACAATATTAAATCAAGATGTGTTTACCAATTTTCGGAACTATGATTTTATGCATCCTCGATATCCGGGAGTTACGCTCACTTTCGCTTTCTACACCCTTGGAATATATCATAGCAAAAATGAAGGCATGCGGCTAGCTTTATGATTGGTGTCAGGTAAAGAAAATCTGACCAATCATAAGGCTGATAATTGTCCTTTCAAGATTTCAAAGGAGCGATGCCCGACTTCAAAGCCTGTCATTTTTTACCGTTACGTGACTGCGAGAGTCTGTTGATGTACATCAAAGGACCAAAGTAGTTTCCTTGTCTCATCGTCATTGGTGCTACACATTGAGCCTTCATTTTTGCTAGCGGTGCAGAGAGCGAATGTGAGCGTAACCCTTGATATCGAGGATGCACTTCTGCTCCAGCACATGGATGTTGAATCCAATCCCTGCAAGACACTTGGGAAACTTTCGATTTTTCATGTAAATATTAGAAGTTTTTGCAATGAGTTTGATTATATAGAGGACATAGCTAGTATGTATGACATTAAATGCCTGACTGAGACAAATTTGGGCGACCAAGTATCTACTGAAGAATAACATATAGCCGGTTTTCATGAACCCTTTCGACAAAACAGAAACTTTCCTGGGGGTGGTTAATCATTCTTTCTTAATAATTTACTGACAATATGTCGCTTACAAGCTATAGAATACCCGGGTTATAAAGTCATATGGATACAAACTAATTTGGCCAGATCAAATCTAATAATTGTTACAGTCTATCGACCTGATTACCCTTTTAATCCTTTTCTGGCAAAATTTAAAAACATCTATTGATAGTTCATTGGATATCTCTCAAAATGTAGTTATTGTTGGCGATCTAAACGTGGATTACCTTACTGTTTCCAATAACATGTCCTTATTGATTTTATTAACACATTTCCCTTGAAAAACGTTATAAATGAACCTACAAGAATTAGTGCATCTAGATCTATTTAACTTGACCCCATTTTACTATCAGACTCACTTAATTGTAAAGAGTTTTTAGTTTAACCTATTGAAAAAATAGTAAGTGATCATGAAGGTTGTATTGTAGTTATTGAATGTACCTATTTTACCAAACCTCTTAACAAACGGAAACTGGGTTATGCAAACGAGCCAACCTCGATATCCAGGGGTTTCGCTCACTTTCGCTCTCTGCACCCCTGGAATAGTATTTTTCTGTGCTGGGTTGCATACCTCTTTACATTCAGCGAAAAGTGCGAATGATCTTAACTACTTAGAACTTTAGTGATGTCTTTCATCTGATTTAACCACAATAACAAATTTTTACCATATAAGCTTTTAGTCTCACGTGAAACTTCCGATACTATGCGACTTAACCACTTAACCGCATATTGGTGTCATTACGAGTATGATTTGTTTCCCTAGTCACAGATATATAAAGTTTAAACTTTGTTGTCATGTGACTCAGGATAACCCTGGTTACAAACATATATTGTTGATTTGATACAGATGTCGGATCAGGCCAGACGCGTGGCGGTGATTGGGGCAGGTATATCCGGGCTTTCCACTCTCAGAAGTCTCCTCGCTTCGGATCGGAAGTACATCCCAACATGCTTTGAGAGAGGAAATGACGTAGGCGGGGTATGGCTGTATAACGAGAACACCCACACGGACGAGGACGGGATGCCTGTGTTTACCAGCATGTACCGTGACCTAATGTTAGTACAAATGGTAGTCTTTAGAATAAATACGGTTTCACACCCGTTAATGTATCAGCCAAATACGCAAATACCAGTCTAGGTCCGAAGGCCTGGAGAACTTACATGGATCGACCATGTGGGTGTTCTCCGGTTTCCTCCTAAATTAAAACACCCTTAGCGCAACCTTAAGGGCCAATAAGAGTTATTAATTTACATTGATATAACTTTTTCCCTATAATTATTATAAAATTAATAAAGTTTAATTTCTAATGATATCGACTAAATTATTGTACTCGCATCATATAGGCAAAATATGAATTCAATATTAAATATGTATTTAGGCAATGAAATATCTATTATTTTTTCTATACAATTTAAGATGGGTAATTTCACACTCTATCTTATCAACTATTATTCATTTCTGAAATCGACTGATTGAAACAAAATTAGGTCGATATTATTTAGTCCATATTTCTGTTATAGTAACATGACGTCACTATTTCTTCCATTTTGTCCGCCATTATTGTTCAGTTCACAATTTCAAGAAGCCAGTGGAATATGATACACAAGATAGAAATGTGAAATGTTTTATATATAAAATATAATGACAAAGGGGTGAAACATATTATTTTCAATACATGGAACAAATATCAATAATGAAATAGTCTTCCTTCCATTTTGTGTATATTATACTCTAAATAAAAAGTATGTTTGAATTTTTGATTGATATGGAATCACACAGAAGTAACTTACCAAAGCCGATGATGGAGTTCCCAGAATTCCCCAATACGGATCCGGATACAGACTCGTCCTTCATGCCCAGACCGGAAGTTATGAACTACATCAAACGGTTTACAGAACACTTTGAACTCCGCAAATACATCCTGGTAAATATTTATTTCTTAACATATGTTTTTATTAAACCGAATACTGCATGTATATGTAAAAGTACACATTTATTTAATCATTCATTCATTTAGTTCTGGTGCACAATGTAACACAGTCATAATTAGCATCGTGCATCTTAACTCAATGAATGACTAATTAAACTAATGCTACTTCAAAACGGTGTAACATCAAGCAGAAAAGATATGAAAACTATTATGAACTGTTTTTGCTGAATTGAAAATATGTACATTTTGAATCACATTTTGCAAAATTAGAAAAAATAGAAAAATGTTGTTGGATTGTTAAATGCCATTTATCAATATTTAATCATATCCCGTTAGCTCCATACCTGACTGTGGGCAACTTTTGTTTTATTTGTTAAAACAATTTTTCTTGATGTTGCTCAAAAAATACTATTTAATATAATTTGAAAATGTGTTACATTTCAAGTCGAAAATGATACATAAATACACTTCCTAGACATAGTTCTAGTTTAAAATAAAGGGGTTCATAGTGCCTTCATAATTAAGGGGTTTTACGCATTTGCCCCTCTGTTTCAACAGCTGTTTAGATTATTTGGATTACCAGCGTTTTTTCCCCTAGCATCACCGATGATTCCTAGGAAGACGAATCAACTGTATGCTGCAGTGTAAACCATGTTCGGCTTTCTGTGTGTTTTACCAAATGTTACAGGTGTAATCACATGTCTGAGTGTAACTTTCATCTTGATAGAAGAGATGCCATTCTGTTCCCTACTTTCCTATTACTTACACTCCAAATGCACCTGAGGCTTTTTTATAGATTAAACACCTCTTCTTTGTGTTGCTAAAATTATACTGGACATACCAAACATTGCAAATAGGAGCTTGCAACATTTTAAATTGGTTTAAAAATGCTTTTAAGAGAAAGTGCTTCTAAAATCATCACACAATTTTTTCTCCTCAGACTCACACATTTGTCACCAACGTAAGCCCGAAAAGCGATGAGAGACATCCCGAATGGACAGTGTCCTATTACGACATTCGGAACAAAGAGGAACAGAAGCAGGCCGTGTTTGATGCTGTATTTGTATGCAACGGGTATGAAACTCATTTTCCCCTTTAGATCACCTGACCATTTAATTCGTCTGAAAAATGAATTAACCAGATTAAAAGCAATACTATCCTAAAGGTGCATGATAAGTCATGGTACATCAAAAGGTCCCAACTGTCAGTTTAAGATGACATTATGCGTTTTGGAATTGTTAAATTTCAAGCAGATCTAAATAGATTGTCGGTCTTTTAAAATGTGTTGTCATCATCGAAACGAGTCTGTAATGTATTTAAAGTCTAGTTTCGTAGTTAAAGTTTAGGACATGACTTTCTTCTTATATCATTTCATATTTTCCTTCTGATATGCAGTCATCAACATACACCAAATAAACCGGATATTGACGGAGCAGAAAAGTTCCAAGGGGAGATCACCCACAGCAAAAACTACAGAGTTCCTGAGAAGTTTATAGACAAGAGGGTTGTTATACTCGGAGCCTCCTTCTCAGGGACTGATATCGCTATTGACATATCTCCATGCGCTAAACAGGTACGTACTGTAACTAGGTTTAATTGTATGTCGTCTAAAGCATTGGATTTCTTTCTTTTGTCATTAATGATCAATTGGAAAGGCGGATTCATTGAAGTGATGCAGAGCTTTAAGGCTTCATATTTGAATTACCTTTGTCCAATTTGCACTCATATTTTATTTGAATGCCAACAGCAGCATGATGATATAAGGGCTTCTAAGTTTGTTAAATGAATGTGAATGGCCTACTTTCGGGACCACAGAACGCATATGTATCAAAATCTTTAAATGACTTCTTCTGAATAACCGAGAAGCCTGAGGCAAAGGAGGGTGTTATTTGGTCGGAGATATGTCCGAATGAAGAGCTACCAAGCTTGTTCATATGACCCATTTCCATGGTTTCATGGGTCAAATATGTTATGCAACACTTTATTCGACTTTTCAGAGGTACCAAGTGATCTAGCATAATGATATTTGACCAGACGAATACGGACCTAAAAGACCACTAATTTGTTTAAAAGAATTACCTTGACCCTGTCTTTGTAGGTCACAGAGGTCTAATCTGATAAACACTTTGAATATCATATTCTGAATAACAAAATAATTAGGTTGAATATATTGGGCCGGTAGTAAGCTGGAATTAAAGGCGACCATTTATTCAGAAGATTAGACTTAACCAAGTGTCAGTGTCAGTGTCACTGAATAACAGAAACATATCATTATCAATTTCGCATGTGACATTCTAAGATGAATAACTATTAGGTTTATTATAAAAATTACCATGACATACGCTCTTGATCATGTGTTGAATTTTCTGGAGTAGTAATATTTGGCTCCATACTTTTACACTATAGTAATTTTAACACAAGGCCGTGTAAGCAAAATCAGATACTTACTAGATTACAGTGTATCAATGAGTGATTACGGACAATACTACATTAATAGATCAGTCATGTATGTGTGTCAATGGTGGTGCACTCTTTGAATCTTAGATATCACATGTTCATATGAGAAGGCCTTAAAACCAACCACGTCTTAAACGTCTTGGTTTGTTACATATATATGTCACAATGATAATATATTATCGTGCCCTGCCTATGGTTTGTTACATATATATGTCACAATGATTATAGAGTATCGCTCCCTGCCTATGGTTTGTTTCATATATATGTCACAATTATAATATAGTATCGTGCCCTGCCTATGGGTTGTTACATATATATGTCACAATGATAATATATTATCGCTCCCTGCCTATGGTTTCTTTCATATATATGTCACAATGATAATATAGGATCCTGCCCTGCCTATGGTTTGTTACATATAAAAGTCACAATGATAATATATTATCGTGCCCTGCCTATGGTTTGTTACATATATATGTCACAATGATTATAGAGTATCGTGCCCTGCCTATGGTTTGTTTCATATATATGTCACAATGATAATATATTATCGCTCCCTGCCTATGGTTTGTTTCATATATATGTCACAATGATAATATATTATCGCTCCCTGCCTATGGTTTGTTTCATATATATGGCACAATGATAATATAGTATCGTGCCCTGCCTATGGTTTGTTACATATATATGTCACAGTGATAATATAGTATCGTGCCCTGCCTATGGTTTGTTCCATTTCTATGTCACAATGATGATACTGTATCGTGCCCTGCCTATGGTTTGTTCCATTTCTATGTCACAATGATGATATTGTATCGTGCCCTGCCTATGGTTTGTTCCATTTTTATGTCACAATGATAATATAGTACCGTGCCCTGCCTATGGTTTGTTCCATTTCTATGTCACAATGATGATATAGTATCGTGCCCTGCCTATGCAACTGGTCTGTACTTCCATCCAAACACAATATTGTTTATTCGAATTTGTGCTTATTTCTATCACTCTCGTACTAAATTATGTTTAAAAGGACATCACGCTTCATATATACATCTTGAAAAGCACTATAGTAATATATCAAATATAGGTCACTGTGACCTATATTTTCCGCTTCACTGGCAATGGTCAGATTTCGAGATTAACGCCATTGATTTGGGTAGATTTTATGTTTATTTTAATTTCCATCAAAGAAGGCGTACATGTTCTACTTGTGTATTATTTGTATTATTGCGTCAATATTTCTACAATATTGTATACGTGGGCGACAATGAAAACGAGGCCATTTGCCATGTATCTCCGTTATGTGTCAAACTCAGGACTACAAACTACTAGTCCGGTGTTTTAATGGTTGGGATAAAGGGATACTCTGCCTTGCCGAGTCCATGTGGTTTGTATGCACTTAACGTCCTATAAACCGCTATGGTCATTTAGGGCTAGCCAAGTTGTCGGTTTTGTTTTGTTTTGTTTTTTGTTGTTTTTCCTTTTTTTCTTTTTTTTTTGGAGGGGTGGGGCGGTGGTTACTCGGAGAAAAACACCGACCTGATGCCAGAATTTGGCGACTCCCCCACGTAGGTATCGAAACCGCGACCCAGTGATTAAGGGCTAGTGATCGTATGATCGTAGACGGTCAGATGCCACAACCCTCTCCCGCCAAATCAGTAGCAAGCGACTAGATATTTCACCACTATAATAGTGAACCATTTCAGATATTTTTTTCATTGTATTCACAGATTTTTCTGAGCCATAACAAAGATCGTTTCAAATCTGTTTTCCCTGGAAACATCACTGAAAAGCCGGGGATAAAGCGGATGACTCGTACGACGGTCATCTTCTTGGACGACACCGAGGAGGAAGTAGATGTTTTACTTTTCTGTACCGGATATCGTTACAACTTTCCGTTTCTAGGTGATGACGTCATCAGCGTTACGAACAACAGGGTCATGCCTCTTTATAAGCACGTGGTCAATATAAAATATCAAAATCTATTCGTTATTGGCATTCTTGATCAAGTACCGTTTTTCCCAATGGGACACCAGCTGTCAAGATTTGCCGTCGCCATATTGGATGGTGAAGTCAATCTTCCGTTAGAAATAGAAATGTACGCAGACGCTGAGAGCGATTTTAATGGCAGAAAAGAAAGAGGCGAAAAGGCCCACGCAAGTAAGGATAATGAACGCATATGGAAATTTGATCGAGAGCTGTCTACGTTGGTAGGAATCCGTCCATCATCCAAAGCCTTCCAACTCATCCGTGGTTTTATTTACCACGATATCATGTACAACATAACTACTTTCCGCCGAAGAAAAATTCAAATTTCAGATGACCGGGAATCGTTTAAAGTTTTGAATTAGCAAACGAACAAACCCAAGAAATATCTGTAGTGGAGTCTTTGTACTCCTCTGTTTCAATGACAAGTGTGCAGTGAGGTATAAGAAGGAGACCACTCAACTTTTTCTCTACATATTAAAGTTTGTGTTCTCTCCAATTAAATATCCCACTTAGTGGAGGGTGTATCTAGTTGTCCCTTTATATGTGCGTCAGTCCGTGAATCTTTAATAACAAGTTTGTGGACAAGATATCTCAGGACACTTTCCACAGACAAAATTCAAGTTTTATTATAAATATTACTATACTTCCCTAAGTTTTATAAAAATGCAGAATTTATTTGCTATTTGCATTTTACAAGTACTACCGAAATAGAAGACTAGAAAAGCTGTTAGAAAATAAAGATAATTGATTTGTGATCCTTGAGTGTATTGTTGTCCGCCATGTACAATGAATGTTATACAGCGTACACACATGATCTCTTGTAACATACTTCGTATATCTAGGAGTAATAAAAGTCTTGAAATCTTTTGAAATCTTGTTTTGATATAATTACTTACCTGTATTTCTATAGTATTAGAACAGTGTTAAAGTCTAAAGTTTATTTCCAATAACGTGATCCATGAACTTCACCCGAGATACATAAAGTCTGTTTCTTTTGTTCTATTAAAGGCCGCGCCGTCATGAACAACCATCAGATATCCTTCTTCTGTACAGCTCCGTTTCATATTTGAATTAATGAGATACGTCTTGCGATAGGGGGAATCGAAGTCGTTTTCCTTATATATATGTTGTATTATTATAAGGGCAAAGAAGTGATAACGACAGTACAGACAAAGAAATGTGTCAAATGTTCAGGGTGATCTGCCCCTTTATCAAGACAGGAACATGGAAAGTTACATATCACAACATAAAACAGAAAAAACAGTCACCATGAAACAATAATGCAATACAAAATACATAAACAGAAGTTACTTATTTTGTATTTTCGTCTACTACTTAAGCTGCGACGTCGCTGCTTGTTTGTTAAACTTAATCGTCTGTACTTTGTTGACAAGCACACGGCACAACTTATAAGGGACATGTTGACACCTCTTTACCAGAGGTTCGCGTATATATCAGTATATATGAGTAGCGTAGCTGCCTTAGGCTCGAGTAGGCACGTGCCTACACATAATTTTGTTTCAGTCATGTGTAAATTCAAAATTGTCTTTTCACTTAACTCTTAAAGATTGTACTATATCCGTGATGTTTTAGCATTGGTTACGTACAAAATAACGAAAATATCGGGGGGGGGGGTCTACAGTCAAAAGAGATCTTGTAATACACGTAAGTGAAATAAAACTTCCGGGCTTACATTAAACAATGATAGGTAATACCTCAACGTGAACAAGTTTGTGGTCTGGAAAATTCGAAAAAGCTCAGAGACCCTATCAGAGGATCCCTCTCGCAGTGAAATTATTTTGTCTTCCGTGGCTACCTCAATCTCAAAAAATGTTATTGGCAAAAGAATGTTACACTGTCAAAAGGATCGGACAACAGGCTTAAAGTCTAAATAAGTGGTCTTCCTTGGTGGTATGTATATATATATATATATATATATATATATATATATATATATAAGGAAACATTGTATTGATATAATGATTGTAAATAAAAACGATTTTGCTTGCTGCCAGTAATTAATCATAAGAAACAGGTATCATGTTTGGCGTTAAAACCCTAAGGTCATGTGACCATAAAAACAAGGCCGAGGCTATTCAAAGTCAGGCGTCATTCTTTAACTCTCATGCCCAACTCCACCTTGATTTGGCACGCATAGGACATCAGTCGGAGGTAGGCTAGCAGGTTATGACAAGTTGACCATCCAGAACTAAGCATGCTTGATAACCAAGGTAGCCTAAAGACGAAATACTAGCTAATCACGCTTCCGAATTAAATTCTCCCGAATACCCAGTAGTGAATTGCATCGTTTGTGTTGAATTCCGAAATTTTACCAGAATCCTTATAAGTAATGTTTTATCGCGGCTGACCTTGTTACTCAACCAAGATATTAAACGAACTTCTTTTATCATTCTTAGTACCATTTAATCAGGATGACCGTCGTATTGTGACTATGTATACTCGGTAAGTCGAATAAATGGAATGTGGGTTTTGAAGAATTCAAACACATATTTGATCAATCTAGAACATCCTCTTCTCAAAGACATTTCTTCTGTGATTGTTTCAGGCTTTTCTACCATTTACACTACCATTCCTCATACCAAACAAAAGAGTTTTCTTTTCAAAAAGAAGAGCGAAATTGTTTTACACGAAGCTACGTTCAACATTGCTACTTTCCGTCAGAGAAAAATTAAAATGTCAGATGACCTTGAAGTTTTGAATTAGTAAAAAAACAAAACACAACCATTTGTAAAAGATCTTTATATTGCTATTATATATTTGCTTAATTTTTATCATTTTTTGTTGTTGTAAACAAATGTGACGTCACTGCCTTCCAAGTACGATTTCTCCTTGTGACATCCATGTCCTGCAGTATATGCATCAATGCATCTGCAATTTCCTCAAAGTAAAGGTATGTTTGATGAAGATGAATGAAACAGCTAATGCCATATATATTTTACGAATTTGGCTAATATTTTGATATCTTTTACGAGTGCGCAGCACGAGTTTGAGATATCAAAATATTAGCCAGACAAGTGAGATATATTTGGTATTACTGAAGATACCGTTGGTTATTCTGTTTATTACATTTTTTACAGAAGACCTACCCCGGAACGCAACAAAATATAGTCCCCTCGGCAAAAAAAAAAATATATAAAAACTAATAATGAAAATCCTTAGTTACCTAATTTTCTTTAGAAGGGAAATAAAGTATGACAAATTACTATCATAATTCAATCATATAGAAAATAATCACAACATAAGGCCATGTTAGGCACGGTAGCCTAGTGGTAGGACGCCGGGCTCGTGACCGAAGGGTTGTGGGTTCGAGTCGAGTCACGTCACGGCACTGTTTTGTATCTTTGAGCAAGATACTTTAATCCGCTTGTTCCAGTCTACTTAGCTCTAAATGAGTACGTGGTTGGGAAGTGCTAGAATTGTTGAATGCTAGCTGTGAGCGCCGAAATGGCAGCACCGGCTGTATGCTCCCCAGAGAGTTGATAAAGATATTGGCTGGCTGCAAAGGCCCTATAACCACGGATAATAATTTGTGAACCACTTTGTGACGACCTACGGACAAGGTTGTGATAAATGGTATATACAGAACCTAAAATAATCATTATTAGTAGTAGTATTATTATAACAACTCAGATCACTGCGCGTTTTTGATGAGTATCGAATTTAAAATGGTAGGTAGTAGGGGAAATGCAGCGTTGTTTTGTCACCCCTTATACTGATGATAAAATATTACACCACCTATGTAAGTTATACGTATGAGCCTGGTTCTCTTATACTTCCTGCCAATCGCTCAGCCTAACTTTGGACTAAAAGACGCTGACACTGTGCTTCATTTGACATGAGTTTTCTCTGATCAAATAGTTAGTATTGCTGACCTGCACTGTCTGCTGACTTTCGTGAATATGAAAGTTGACTACGTGATTAAACTTTGCGTTTACAAATCGTAGAGAATTGCGTCCTCCTTCAGATCTTTGTACTGAGAACATACCAAGGTTCTGTCTACGCGTCCGTATGGCATTTTGGTGTATGCTTTGTCTAACTTGATAATAATTAATCACAATGTTAATGATTTTGTGGCGTTATACAAGTACTTGTCAATTAATAAAGTCACCAATTTAAGCTCGTCTTTCTTTTATCATTACTTTGTATTTGTCAGACAAAAAAAACCGACACACGGAAAATTTTGAAGTAATTTCAATGTGTATATATAGAGAGAAAGTAAATATATGCAACAATGCACCAGCAAATCTAAAAAAGAATTACCTACCTTGATAAATACCTAGCCTGTGTATCATACACACTGCAGAAACTTTTGTTAACTCCGCCAAAATATCTGCTGCAGATGACATCGTTTCAGGTGGGTGTGAACACAAGGACCTGATAATTTGTTACAGCTATATTTGAACCTAAACTAAGGTGTTTAGAGTAGTTTTACATGTTTGGGGTTTAAGATCAATATTCGGTAAAAAAAAAATGCCACCCCAATGATGATATTTAGATCAATTTTCGGTAAAAATGCCACCCCAATGATGATATTTAGATCAATTTTCGGTAAAAATGCCACCCCAATGATGATATTTAGATCAATTTTCGGTAAAAATGCCACCCCAATGATGATATTTAGATCAATTTTCGGTAAAAATGCCACCCCAATGATGATATTTAGATCAATTTTCGGTAAAAATGCCACCCCAATGATGATATTTAGATCAATTTTCGGTAAAAATGCCACCCCAATGATGATATTTAGATCAATTTTCGGTAAAAATGCCACCCCAATGATGATATTTAGATCAATTTTCGGTAAAAATGCCACCCCAATGATGATATTTAGATCAATTTTCGGTAAAAATGCCACCCCAATGATGATATTTAGATCAATTTTCGGTAAAAATGCCACCCCAATGATGATATTTAGATCAATTTTCGGTAAAAATGCCACCCCAATGATGATATTTAGATCAATTTTCGGTAAAAATGCCACCCCATTGATGATATTTAGATCAATATTCGGTAAAAATGCCACCCCAATGATGATATTATATATACGCTCGTATATTATCTTAATTGGGGGTGATATTTTCCCCGGAATTTGATCAAAACCACCAAAACGTGTAAAATTAATCTAAAAACCTTAGTTTAGGTCCAGAGATAGCAGTAACAAATGCTCAGGTCCCTGTGGGTTTGAAGGCTAGGGTGAATTTTGGAGGGCAGATCATGCTAGAGGTTACGTCACTATTTCCTCTAATCCCTAGCATATATTCTTACTTAAGTGAGATATCGTGGTCTCACAGACGCCCATTATGGTGATATTCTGTACAGAGGAGGTTTGCATAGAGAAATCGGAAAAAGAACTTGATCATATACACAATTTATTGAATTGCGAAGAAATAATTTGAAATTTATTTGAGTATAATATGGAAATCAATTCGAGTTATACGGAATTAAAATTCGTGATAAAGTTTCCAAATCGTATGTTGAAGAGATTTGTTTCTCTTACCCTGGACAGATGTAACTGCACTTTTACCGGTGTGAGAATTTCTTATCTCGCCCTAGGGTTGAGACATGTCTCGTGTTTGGCAACGTAAGAATCTTCCCCCTCGGGTTGAGATTCCCCTATCTCACCCCCAAGGGGATGAGAAATTCTATTATTCTCGACCCGAAATTGTCATAAAGCGTAGATAAGGTTTAATGCGATGAACATCTTTCTATGTCTGGTGCAGAGCACTAATTTTGTTCATGGCTAAAACCGTTAATTTAACAAAAAATGTTATACTACAGGATATATCTTGTATTAAATACTAAAACAATAAATTAAT